AGCCTGCTTCTCCCTCTCTCACTCCCCCTGCTTGTGTTCCCTCTCTCGTTGTGCCTCTCTCTGTCAAATAAATGAATAAAATCTTTAATAAAAAAAAAAAAAAAAGAATGTTCCAATTGCTTTGAAACCTATTCACATATCACAGGGATTTTCGATAATACTTATCAATGAAAGAGAAGACCTTTTGAGTCTTTAAACTAATTGTAACTAATGCAACTGTTCGACTAAATTATTTTTTTGCACTTGAGCAGGTAAGTGTGAGTTCGGTTATGACTTAGTTTACACAGTAATTCTTAAAATGTTATTTAAATTAACATTTTAAATAAGGTTTTCTTAACTGAAAAGTAAAAACAAAGAATAGTGTTTCTACTATTATTGTCATTATATCATCACTCATAGATGGGCCCAGTTGGTCTATTTGGTGGGAATGAAGCCAGTGGTTTGTTTTTGTTTATTTGCTTGCTTGTTTTCGCCTGCATTAGTTAATGCCATGTCAAGGAAAATTCTGTAGAACTCTGTATTCACACACCCTCACAGTTGTCAGGTCTTTCAGATGGAGACTTTTGCTTTCAGGGGGAAGGTTTTCAAGAAAGTGTGAGTGCAAACCTGTAAACACTATTAATGTCATGTAGTGCTTTATTATTTCAGATATGCTCTTATACTCCTATAATTTATTTAATCTTCACAACCACTCAGTATTTTTAATTCCATGTTACAAGGTTTTGTTATTTTACAGATTAGGAAACTGATTCTGAGTGGTTGTGACTTACTCAAGGTCACACAGCTAGTGTGTTAGGGGAAGTATAAAGATTTGATTGAACAGATGAGATATCTTCAAGGAAACAATGTAAGAATACTGTGAAAAGAGAAGTTAGTAGGAGAGTCATTTATACCTCTTGTCTTTTAGAAGAGGATTCTCTTTCTCAAGTATAGCATTAAGTAGATTTCCTACCTTTTTTTAAAAAGATTTTATTTATTTGAGAGAGAGTGAAAGAAAGAGAGCATGGGAAGGGGGAGGGTCAGAGGGAGAAGAAGCAGACTCCCCACTGAGCAGGGAGCCCAGTGGACTCCGTCCTGGGACTCTGGGATCATGATCTGAGCCAAAGGCAGATACTTAATCTACTGAGCCACCCAGGTGCCCTGATTTCCTATTTTTGAAAACAATACTTTAAATTAGATATAAGTGGATAACTTCTGAAGGTTAAAATAACTTGTTTGTATGTAATGTATATTTTGCCCATTTTTATAAGTATTTGCAAACAGAAAAGTGGTAATAAGAAGTGTAATTCTCAAATACTTTAAATAATGTTTGTGACAAAGATGGAAATCAAATCAAAAATGGTAAACCTTTAGCCACAGCTTACTGTGTGTGCTTTTTTGTTTGTTTTTAAGATTTATTTGAGAGAGAAAGCATGAGTTGGAGGAGGGGCAGAAGCAGAGGGAGAGGGAGAGAGAATCTCAAGCAGACTCCCACTGAGTGGGAGCCCGACACAGGGCCCAGTCGCAGGACACTGAGATCAGGACCCGAGCCGAAACCAGGAGTCGGACGCTTAAGCGGCTGAGCCACCGAGGTGCCCCACTGTGTGTTTGATTATGAATAAAAGAACAAAAGTAAAGAACATTTATGAAATACAGATTTTATAAGTAAAGATGGTGTCTAAAATGTATTTGGTAATTGATTTTCTTATAACATACTTTGTTATCCAACTTCTGTATGTTTACTTTTCAGCTGTCTTCAAAAATACATCCTATACAAATGTATGGCATTTGACAGAATTACCTCATAACCCTGAAGAAAAGTTTCTATGTATTATGCATATGAGTTAATTATAGTAGCTCTGATAAAAGTGTCTTTCTTGTGATCAACCTCTAAAAAGATTAAACTGAGAACAGAGAGGGAAATTAAAGGAGAGAGTTGGTAATAACTGGTTCATTGCAACTTAATGTGCAGCATCCTAATTAGTCGAGTATCCTTTGCCTACCTAGGCATGAAATAACTCTTTTTTTCTAATTTAAATCTGCAATTTTTCAATTGTAGAACAGCTTGAATAGTCTTTGTTGTAAATAGTCACTGGATTTTTTTTTTTTTTTAAGTATTTGTCTTCAGAAACAATGAAGGTCATCTTGTATCCATAGAGACCACATGCACTTTCCTCATTATTTCTATATTCTGTAATAGGTAAGAGTTATTTATAATATTTAGACAAACAAAAACTATTACAGACCAACCTTTAAATATTATCACAGGGTAAATATCAGTGACTGAAATCTCTTACTCCAGAAAAATCCATACTCCAAAAAAATTGATATTGGAAAATTAGTGTATTTTCAGTAGTTACCGTGTATATTGGTGTTTTCAGTAGTTAATCCTATAGGGGGTGTGTGTGTATGTACACACACATGCTTATAGATGTATGTATGTTCATTTCTTGGAAATCACTGTGACTTAATTGTAGACTCAATTGTTTTAATATTTTTTAAGAAACAATAATTCTATGTGTTTTAGATTAAAGCAAGTCTTGGTTTCAGTGGGGTGTAGATTTACTATATTTTGCTAGTCTTCTCTCAGGTAAGTAGGAAAAGAATGGGAAACAAAATGGTTTTGGCGTATTGCTTTATAAACAAAGCCAAGGTCATGAGTCTGGTCTGTTCCTCTTATTTTCCACTTGGCTTTGTTTATTTCCATGGACTGTACATCCCTAACCTAACTCTAATGGGTATAGGGGAAAAAATATTAGACTCTTACTCAGTGTAGATCTACTGCCAGTAAAACCCACTGTATTGGCAGTCTAAATTAGGACACTTTTGTTAATGAAGGGAGTCACTTTTAATAATAATACCAGCGCAACACTCATAAATTCAGACTGGGGAGCACCTGGGTGGCTCAGTCTGTTAAGCGGCTGCCTTCAGCTCGGGTCATGATCCTGGGGTCCTGGGATCGAGCCCTACGTCCGGCTCCCTGCTCAGTGGAGAGCCTGCTTCTCCCTCTCCGTCTCCCTCTGCCTGCCACTCTGCCTACGTGTGCTCTCTCTCTCTCTGTCAAATAAATAAATAAAATCTTCAATAAATAAATTCAGACTGGTTTGGGTGGATGTATGGTCACTCTCTGATGATTAGGGGATTAGGATTGTCATTCTACTGTGTTGTTTCTTAACAATCTCGAAACTCTAGGTTTAGGGAGAGAAAAACTCATTTTTGCATGTATTAAGTAGAAAAATAGCTTCATGTAGGATAAGTGGGTAGTATCTTTAATTTTGCATATTTACCGAGTTAAATTTATAATGTATATCTGCTTTGTTAATCAGTCTGTTTAGGAAGAATTGCAGTTGATGAACCACATATTCTCTTGCTAACTAATTAATAACATTAACCTTATTATTTTGTCCCAGAATGTCACAGGACATCATTCAGCACTAAAGAGCCTGTAGATCATTAGATAAAGAAGGTGACAGGCTACATGCTTGTCTGTTCCTTCTGCTCACTTGTTGAGAAAGTCTGTTGTTGTAAACATCCCCGACTGGAAGCTGTAAGACATGGCAAAGCTTTCAGTCAGATGTTTGCTGCTACCGGCTATTCACAGACATCACTTGATTGTGCCAAGAGGTGGAATTGGTGAGGCTGTTGAGTGCTCGGGAGACGCCAGAAACGTCTAGATCCCTTCGTTTACTGCTGTCTGGGAGAGCGCCCCTGTGCGGAGGGCAGTGTGGGCTGCGGCGCTGATGGCAGGACACCCTGCGCCGGTCCAGGCCCGCGCGCCCCAGAGCCAAGGTCCTGCTGCTGCTGCTGCTGCTGCTGCTGCTGCTGCTGGGCCTGAGAGAAGTTAGTGAAAAACTCTGCTTCCGCTGGCAGTTCTTAGGTTGGTTTTCACACTGTCAGTGAACTTGTTATTCCTTATTGCCTTTCCAGGTAGGCTGGAGTTGAACTTCCCACAGTTCAGGAGACTGATTTCCTCCCTTAGAAATTCCTTAGGAGTTCTGCAGATTAGGGGTACCACGACCACAGCCCTGCAACATAAACCTAGAAATCTCAATTTCTCTGTAGTGAAGAGGTGTGCGCATGAACTTTATCTCCGTCCTGGCAGCCTCCCTAATTTCCTGCACACCTCACCCCGAGTGACGTCACAGCTCCCCTGTCCGAAACATGCATGGCTGCAGACCATCGAGCCTGCGCACAGTGTTTCCTAGTGGTTGTGCTTGTCTTCCTTCAGTAAGTGTGTCTTCCCAGGTATTTTCAGGTTACCGCTTGCCTTTTCCTCATTAGAGTATGGATGCCTTGTGAGCAGGTGTACTGTATCTATTTTTCGGGCTTCCCTACAGAGCTGAATAATACGGGGCTTTTCTCAGAGGGCATTCAATGTGGACTAATTGATTGTGTATAATTTTATAGCAGCTGCTTTTCTGAGTTTTAAAATTTATTTTCTTATTTTTATTTGTCTATTAGACACTGGGAAACATTTGTTGAAATTTTTCTCTTCAATAAAGCATTGGTATTTTTATGATTTATTATTATTAAACTGCTAAACATCATACTGTGTTAGGTTCAGTACATAATTAAACCAAAAGATAAAGTTCTTGCTAACCTAATTTTAAATACGTATTTTTTTGATTGCATGACAAGCTTTCTGAGGGCAGGGACATTCTATCTTTATATAATTCTATGTTCCTGCATAAACGTTTATGTATCGGATTATTCTAATAACAATTTTATGTTATTGCAGCACTATCTACTGTATCCTTTTATTTTTAATCCAGATGAGCAAATGACAGTTTGGGTCATAATGTGGCTATTCCAGATGTATCCACGCTACAGCATTTATTTTTAAAGGCTCCTTTGTGAGAGTGGTGGTTTACAAGACTTACTTGGTCAGGAGTGGTGGGAGGGAGGATAGTTCGTTGCTTCAGATGCAAGTAGCTTGGCAACTTGTAAGGATAATTTTCAAGCTTGACAATTAGATGCATCAGGCATCCCTACTGAACTCTTAATGAAGCAGATTTATTGCATATTCCGTGACTCTCTGTTTTATCGCACTGGGAGCTTTAGGTTCCAGATAGCTGCAAATGGATAGAGCCATCTCTGAGAGCCCCAGAAGTGCTCCCTCAAAAAGGCAGAAGGAGTTCTCTGGTAATAGGATTATTTTGTTAAACCAGGTGACATTGTTTATTTCCTATGAAAAAGTTTGTTATTGCTTTAAAATTCAGTAAAATGGATAGAAACTGCCTAGTTTCATAATTTGCACAGTTGAATGTGAAAGGTTTTTCAAAATGATAGCCCAGATCCAAGCTAAAAGAAGGGCAGAGTTGTTATACTCTGCCCAGCTAGTCCAGTTATCCCTTGATGCTGCAGGATTAATGGTACAATCGGTGTTATGTAACATTTGTTCTATATTGTTCTGCCCTGATGAGGTGGATCGGAGACCATGTCAACTTTAATTCTGGATGCCCTTGCTTCAGTGTACTTGAGTACAGTCTTTTAATCCTTTGCAGATGACTTCCTCGTGTTTTAACAATTTTGAAGGACCACAAACTCCCACTGGCCTGCAAATTTAGCAATTGATTATTTAGAACAAATGCCTTAAAATGTTAGATTGTCAGTATTTTCCAGTAAACCTGTAACAACTTGTTTCCCTAGCTTTTGATTTAGTTTTTAGGGAGAAGTGCATGGTCTTTATTGACAGGTCTTAGAAAGCTCAGAAACTAAGATTTTTTTTATCAAATTAATATCAAAAATAAAACATTTTAAGTTACTGAACACCATTCTGAAGATGACAAGGTGTTTTTCCTTAATAAATATTTTGAGATTAGTTAGGGATTATTTTCTTAAGCAAAGAACTACCAAATTGTGTCAAGTTCATTTCCAGTTAGATATTATTGTGTACAGATATTCTTTGTTAACATCACATTGTTGGATGGATCCTCGTTGGTCTTAATACCTGAGTCCCTTCCACCTCAAGTCAGAGGCTTGGGGTGACCCAGAAGTGTGTGGTAAACTTGAATTCCCGACATGCCTTCCTCATTGCATGTAGCACCTCCGGACTCCAGCTCCCTTTCACTCCTCTGATTAAAACTTCATTCATTGAGTGAGTGTGCTTCTACCTGTTGCATGTATTCAGGACTTTTTTTTTTAAGTTTGAGTATCAGTCTGAGCTTAATTATTTTCTAAAATTATGCTGTTTCAAATAGTCTCTAGCATGGTTTCCCAAGTTCAGTTAATGATGTGTGGACATATGATACATGTTTCGATGTTGGCTTTTTCTTATCTGTAGCATATTACAAACTTCCAAATAATTTGACATTCACTGCTATCTTTGCTTTGACTTTCTAACATATTTGGTGAAATAATTAGTCTACTGGTTTTCAAATACTAGTATGTATCAGAATTACTCAGAGAATTTATTAATTGAAGCACAGATTGCTGGGCCCTGCAAGAGTTTC